CCCAAAGAGAAAGGTCAATACATTCTGCATAAGGAACCAGAACTTTTTCTAAAAAAGGTATAAATAAGGAATTAGAAAAATTCTTAGTACCTGTGGCCAGCAACCATACTTGATTTTTTGCCATCTTGGTTTTTCACTGGTTGTCTGAAGTGCATACTTTACATCTGGTTCATGTGATGCTGCATGTGTTTATGGTACTACACAAATTTTGGGGACAAGGATTCCTTTCTGTATGGGCAGATGATGTGTTTTTTTCGTGTTGTAATTGGGACTTTGGCTTATTCTTTGGAACACTATGTGCTTTGTGACTTGCTATAATGCTTAAGTTTTTCCATTTTATAGCGATCATAACTTGTGTAAGACTTTATTTGTGACCAAAGTAAAATAGGGATCATACAAATGTCTTCTTGTCTCTGATGATGTAATTATTCAATTGAAGCCATGTTACCTATGGTGTTATACGTAAAGGTCCACAACATCCCAAATGTTTCAACAGTACAGCTATGCAATTTGATAAATAGTAGTAAAGTGGATGCAGGTGCTTTCAGCACTCTAAGGTGAAGCAAAATTATTTAGATGGCCAAAGTTGGCAGGCAGACCTACAACATCAATAGAACAGGGGAGGAAAATAACTTTACCCTTTTCTCTGTAAAGTAAGGAAAGAAAGGAAAGGAGTTTAGGAGTACCAGGATACTGGTCTTGAGCACATGTCACCAGACAGCACAAGTCTTTCCCAAGTTTTCAGGGAACTGGCAAATTTTGTGTAAGGACACGGGGCAATTTAACATGCTTTTGGCAATCAGAGGACAGGATGTATTGCTGGTGTAGACAGAGTCATATTCAGCATATTAACATGCTGAAGAGTACTGAAACACGTACGAGTTTACCTTTGACATTTTAAATGCTGCCCCACTGTAAATACAGATAGCCAGAGTGGGAATTATCAGTAGTCCAAGACTACCAGGTCTTGAGTATTGGAGGAGCAGAGATAGCACAAGTATTGTGAAGATCAGAAGAATCAAAGAAAGTAAATGTGATTCTGCTTACAGTCTGTTAATTACCCATGATGAGGAATATGTCTGAAATTACATAATTGGAAAATTATTATGAACTAGAAAGAATAATATGAAACCCAAAATTTTCCCTGTAATTTTACATTGTTTTTAATATATTGACCCAACCTTCATCTAGTAGTTCTGACATCTTACATTACTTGAGAATTTGACTAATTCATTTTACCTGATTCTGTCATCATTCCAGAGCTTGTTTTTTTCTAGTTGTTCATGAAAGGCAGGCTGAAAAATATGATGTGATAGTATTTTTAACTCATTTAATCTGACAGTGCTCATGTATGTATGTGTGTGTGTATTTATATCTCCATACTTACAAGTAAATGTATAGCACCACTGCTTTCAAGCAATCAACCACAATGAAACTGTGGTAGCACTGTCTTCGAAATCAGAGCATGCTAAGTGTTTGCTGCAGATTATTTTTAATGGGAGTTGTGCAGTAGATAGGCTGTAAGGGTTTTGAACTGCAGACAGAGGAATATTCAGATCTACAAATAGCCTCGTTTGTCAGCTCATATCTAACTGTCTCTTTCAGCACTGAAATTTCTTCTTAAAGTATTCTCTAAGATCATCAGGTCACTGTCTAATCCAGAGGTGCGCAGTATCCATCTGCATCAAGGCTGACACCCATAAATTTTCCCATGGTCCTAACAGCTACATCCAGGCAAAGATTTATGCACTGAATCTCAGATTTAAGCATAATTTAGAAAAAAAAAAAATCTCCCAACATTTTAAAATGTCCTGCTCACAAAACTCCACAGGCATCTCACTTTTTAATGGAATTTTTCCAAGCTGTCTCATATTTTACTTCTTTTCATTCCCACTGTGCCCCAACTTCAGCAGGGCAGAGAAATTTAAATCAGAACTGATATCCAAGCCTACTGGAACAAAGAACGAGGTGTCTTTGCAAACAGTAGAGCTCAGTCCAGGTGTTCCCAGGGCATGCCTAATTTACATCAAAAGGATTAATGTTCTCAATAAAAAAGAGTTACAACAACTACTTATTCAAGAAAACAACAGGCTAGTGGTGGAGGGAGGTGTGCAAAGGGAGCAGAGTATGGCTATCAGATTGGAGGGAAGACACTGATGTCTTGATTTTGCTTCAAAACTTGTTTATACATTTCACATCAAATTACAGGATGCAGTAACAAGGTACTGATGATCATTGGCCTCACAGATCAGTTCTCTAACTACATGATCCCCTGCACAGCTGTAAGGTACCTAGCATGTACTACACCAGTGCTAAGTATCTTGAAATGGAAAGAGCTGAGAAAAGAAATCTGAGATACCCTGAACTGAAATACTGAGTCTGACTTCATAAGAACCACACAGGTTCAACAGCTCCAGAACTTAGGAAAATCTTTCCATGAAAACTGGTTTTGCTTCTTCAGTTTTCAGCTATATTCTTCTGAGAATAATGTCCATAGCTTAAAGGACAAAATAATATTGCAGAAACATTTCTGTGCATTGCAGCTATTTTGTGACGTGATTTTAGCAGCTGGGGACAGGGAGGAAAGCCTTACTGAATGTAGTCAGCCAGCTCTCCTCAAGGCAGTTGACATTTACTGCCCACAGTTTCAGACTTGCTCTCCTAGCTGAAGGTTTCTCTCTGAAGGGACAAATGCAGAGGAAAGACATGATTTATATGTAATTTGCTGTAACTCATTAATGACAGAGTGCTGGGCATAGTTATTAGAAATACCAAAGTTTGCAATGAGGATGGCTGCAGATTTGTGCCTTCCTTTGATGTGACATCTCCTCTACCACTGGGACAGCCAACGATACTTCTATAAGATAAATCAGGATGACTGTAAATGGGTGCATCAGTACACACTTGGCAAAAGATGAGCGTGGAAGCCGCCTTTGTTTTTAGTGTTGGGTTTTTTTTTTTTGGTTTTGTGGTGGTTTTTTTTTTTTTTTTTGGGGGGGGGGGTTTGATTGGTTTTTGTTTTTTTTTTCCCCTCGGTAGAACAATGTTGGTGCTTAAAAGGTGACCACTCTTGGTTTGTCTTCAATAATAATATTTGCCTAAAGACACAGCTCAGCTGCATGGTACTTCTGCAGGCTAAGCTGTAGAAACTGAGTAATAAACATCTCTCCCCTGTAGCAGCATGTAAAAATCAAGGGTTTGTGGCTAAAGGGATGAATAAAAAATGTGGTTGTATAAAATGATCTGGATAAATCATGCTAACTGATTGCACTTTGGACACTCCCTTGGCCTTGGTAAAAAGTATTTCTAGAGAGACACAAATGTTTTTTCTTCAACCTTGACGGATTCTCAAAATTGGACTAGGATCAAAATCAGCCTGAAGGAACACACTTGGATTCAACACCACCATAGAGTAACCCAAATCTCTCTGATTATCATTAAATGGTCTCCAGAAGCCTTGTCAGTTAATACCAAACAGAACCAGCTTGCCAGGAATACCAAATCTTTTGGCTAAGTGACAGCTCGTTTCTTTAAAACAGGAAAATCCAGTGGAAGAAATAGTTCATAGAAAAAAACACAGGAAAATTAGTTTGGGAAGATTTTTCTGTACATGCTTTTTGGTTCTTAATACTTCTAAAATTACTTGTTTTAGAAACACAAACTTTATTTTTTACTGCTAGATTTACAGAAATAATAATTACTTTCTTTGTTTCTTATTGTGATAAACATGTAATTATCAAATTGAAACCTAACTCCTAATACAGAAGAACAAATAGGATGATCTTACGTGCACTGTCAGGTCTCATTTACAAGACTCATTAACAAGGGGAAATGAATACTAGCTGGAAACCAGGACCAAAGGTAATTTTAAGTCACCTGCAAGGTTCCTTGAGCATTTTGTGCAGCCCAAGCTTGGCTCTGCATTGTCAGATCCCCAGGAATGTATGGGTGCTGGCCATAGGCTCTGCTAAACCGAGTATCTCACCAGACAGTAAAAGGTCCAGGTTTTCAAATTTACCTTGTCTTAAAATGCAGAAAGCATCTTCACTGAATTTTAAAAGCACCCTAGCAGATGGGTGCCCTTAATACCAAGTTGCAGTCTGAATTACTGACTGCTGTATTTGTAAGTCCTGCTAGAAACTCACTGCATCTTTAGACACAAAAATGCCTTTCCAAACCTGGCTTAGATTCTGTACAGCAGCTCCTGACTGTGAAGGCTGATCACTTAGGAACAGTGCAGGCATTTTGAATGCTAGGTGAATAAAAAGAATTGGCAACTCTTGGTTTTGCGACTATTCTTGATGCTCCAGTTTTGCTGTAAAGTATTATGAAAAGTGTCATTTGCAGCTCCAGAAGTTTGAACAAAAGGAGCTAAACTTTGGCTAATTTTTGCCCTCACTCATGTAGACCATGAGTTGACCTTGCAATCTGAACTTAATCTTTGAATTCTCCTCCAGTCTTACCTTTAACATTAACAGGTGTCTGGCCTACAAATACATCAATGTTAATTTGTGGCCAGCAGGTCGAGGGAAGTGATTCTCCTCTTTGTTCTCATGAGACCACACCTGGGTCCTCAGAACAGGAAAGACATGGATCTGTTGGAGCAGGTTCAGGGAGGGACATAAAGATGATCAGAGGAATGGAACACTTCTTTTATGAGGAAATGCTGAGAGAGTTGGGTTGTTCAGCCTGGAGAAGAGAAGGCTCCACGGAGACTTTATAGCAGCCTTTCGATACTTAAAGGTGGCTTAGAAGAAAGATGGAGACAGACATTTTAGTAAAGCTTGAAGCAATAGGATAAGAGATAATGATTTTAAATGGAAATAGGCTAGATTTAGACTAGATATGAGGAAGAAATTTTTTACAATGAGGGCAGTGGAACACTGGAACGTGTTTCCCAGAGAGGTGGTAGATGCCCCATCCCTGGAAACATTCAAGGTCAGGTTGAATGGGGGTCTGGGCAACCTGATCTAGTGGAAGATGTCCCTGCTTATTGCAGGGGTTTGAACTAGATGACTTTTAAAGGTCCCTTCCAACCCAGGCTGTTCTATGACTCTGATTCTATGATTTTAACAAATGTATACTAATGGTATTTGTAATTTAATACTACTAGACTGAGGACTATTTCAGTTAAATCATTATCCTACAGAAAGATTCCAGGGGATATAGGGGACTAGAAATGCTGACAAAGTTATTTACAGCAATCTACTAGTATCACCAGCTGCTTCAGTTTTACAGCCTGATACCCACCACTCCAGCTCTGTTGGAGTGTTAACTCTCTGATTATTTCTGTGTGTACCAGGATCCTCTCCATCTTTGAATGTCCATATTTCAGCCCCAGGTAGATATAATTTACTTGTTCTGCATGTCTTGTCCTTCTAACATTTTCCTCTAATTTTTCCAAAGACTCAGAAGAAAGGCACAGGATAAAATCATGCTGACTGGGCTGAAGCAAGCCATGCCATCATCTTTCCTGGACTACCTGTGCTAGATAATTCTCTAAAAGCCAGTCATAAATGTTGAATCCACTTATAGACACCACTGAGGAGGTAAGTCTGAGGTGTAACACAGGGGGTCTGGAAGGCACAGTGTGTGGGGAGATAGACAGCACCACTGTCACCCTTGGGAAACTCAAAAAATGACCAAGAAAATAGAAGTAATGTTAGAAGAACTGGCAGAGTATTGTGTGGCAGAGTATTCCCTGACAGGAGGTACCTGTCAAGGAAAGGATGAGACCACGGCTTTGCACCCTGTAAGTCATTCAACTTTCCACATGTCAGCAGGGCAGAGCACCAAAACCCCACAGGTGTTTGCTTCATGCAACAGAAAATGTGGGGTCGGAGGAGCTCAGAGATCACTGCAGAGTTGTAAAAGAGCTTGGCCCCAGTGTACAGATTTGAATTATTACTATATTAATATTGTTTCTTAATATTGTCAGAAAAGCCAATACTTTTCCCATGAGAAATTCTGAATCTTTTCCTTTACTGAAATCTGGCCAGGGCTCCTGCTGACAGAAAGGTTAATAAAGGAAGTGAGCTATCCAAAGGACTCTGACAATGTTTATTATAATTTTTTTACCCACCACACAGACTTGCATTTTGACCTTCAGAGTCTCAGGAAATACTGATACACCAGAAAACGGATATGATCCTCGCCATAAGTTGCTGATGCCAATCTGCAAATAAGTGTTTTGCAAAGGTTGCTTTAAACTGAAGTGTGTTTTTCAGATCATGATTTGGATGCAGAAAAAGCACATTCAGGGCACTTCTTCCCTCTTAATCTCTCTTTCAGTCTTTGTTTGCTTGTTTGTTTGAAGCACTTTCTTTTTCTTTCCTCTTGTTGGAAGATACTGTGATTGCACAAGCAGAGTTTCATATTTAAAGCAAGAGAGTTGGATAAAAGGTTTCCCAGCTGAAGGCCCAAGCCCAGGATCTGGGAATAAATCACAGAGTTTAACAGCAGTATTTTAGAGATTTTAAAGCTGAGACTTTTAAGCAAGCTTTCATGGAACAGAGTTTTACCAGTGCACTGACTAATCTAAAATTAAATGAAGCATTTCAAGGAAGAACTGCTACAGCGGCAAAATTGAATAAGGGAGAAGATATACAGACTGAATATAATTGTTCCAAAAAATATTTCTGGTGTTAATTCTACAGAATGCTGCAAGTGTTTTGTGCTAGCTCAGTGACTTTGAGCAGTCCTGAGCTCCCAGTTCTCAACCATAGGACAGCATGGAAGGCATCCTTAAATCTCTAGCATAGTTGGTCTAGGTCAGTAGTCTCAATCCAAAACTGTTCTCAAGATTGAATCTCTTCATGATATTTTGATTTTTAATTCTGGAAAAGCCCATTTTAGAAATGGTCTTTGTCAGAAAATTGGGGCTTGATTTCCGGTTCAGGATATTTAAGATTTTGCTTCAGTTTTGAATATATCCAGTTTTCAATGTCTGGTTCAAATCTAGTGGTCAGATTTCTACATGCTGCTAATTTCTAAACAATTTTTTTTTTTGTGATAGAATGAAAGAAGCATGATCTTTCTACTTTTATTGGTGTTGAGCAGAAGTCAGATCCCTCATAAATGTATTGTACCTGTATGAGATGATGCAAGAAGCTGAAGAATCAGGCTGTGTGTTTTCCAGAGCACTGATATCCTTTTAACACACACTTTCAAGACTGTAGTCCCTAATTCTTTTTAAGGATTCCTCCTGCTTCTTCTCTTTCATTTGTCTTCCATGACATTTTTGACAGGGAATATGTCTTATCTATATGCTTTGAAAATTTACAGCACTATATAAATCCTTTTATAAGAATCAGAATTTAAACCTTTACCGGCTACAATAACATGAGTGGAAAATTATTTGTTCACTTCTCAATAACTGACTAAATATTGTCTTTAGTGTTATATTTATAGGAAGTTTCTTTATATGTGTGTTACTGTAAATGTTATTCTTAGAGGTGGAGTTAGAAAAACCAACAATTCAATACAGATCTTTTACATTTCTTGAGTGGCATTTATTTGCAGTTACACTGCTTCCTTCAGACAGACTGAAAGTAAGATGGGACCTTAATGCTATGTAGAATTGGAGCAGCAAGAAGTATTTTGGTGGTTCTGGGATTTATAAGGCCTACCTGAAGGGATTTTTTTGCAAATTATTCTCCAAACCCCTATACTTTCCAAGTCTCCTTCATTTGGGATTTTTTCTTAGCATCTAATCTCCAGTAATAGTTTCAGTGGTAGACAAGGATAAATTCATGCCAAAGCAGTCTGAGACGATTTATCTGTGCTTTTTCTGAGAAATCAGAAAAAATGTCCTTGGCCACTGTCTTTGTATGGCAGCTCTTCCTTCCAGACAGAGCAGCCCTGCACATCAATTTGACAGGGCACAGGCACAGGAAGTCATGCTGCTTTGGGGAGGACTGTGCCTTCTCATGGTTGATGTGGATAGATGTGTTCAGCTCTTGGTGACTCCAAATGGGAATGTCCAGAGTTTACACTTCTGTTGCCCCAACTTTGCACATGCTTGTGCAAGGCATGAGGTAGTGGAAATCATATCCAAGAAATCAAGCTAAATTCCTTTGCAAAACTGGGATGCAGACATGCATCATTTCCTGCTTTATTGCTGAGGTTCCTGTTGAGGTTTCCTGCTTATAATTTATTTTCCATAAGCTGATTAAAAAGTCATTAGAAAACAATCAAATATCTGCATAGATAGAACAGGATTATAAAAATGGTGCAATTATTCATTTGCCATCTTGGTGTGTTAATAGAACAGCTGCTGAACTATACAACAACTCTTTCAACATGGCTGATCATTCTTGCCCAAGTTTATCTCCACCAAATAAAATTGTTTTGGTTTTTATGCCAAGATAACTAATAGAGACTTATAGAGACAATGTACATGTAGTTTTTACTTTTCTATACATATAAATTCATAGGACCTTAGAAATATTGCTTGGAAGGCATCTCTGGAGATCACCCAGTTAAAACTCTTGCTCAAAATGAGAGTGTCATCCAATGCTAGACCAGTCAGCCATGTCTTTTTCTAGCTGATCCTTGAAAACATGCAAGGATGGTCGTTCTCTGGGCAACCATTTCCAGCACTGTACCATGTTCTTACTGTAAAAGCTCATGGCAAATTCATGCATGCTCTTAGGTTTTTTTTGGACAAGCTATTATAATAGGAAAATATCTAATGGTTCACATTTTATTGTGAGTTAGCTATCCTGATATACAAATGCTCTTTTTCACTAAGGACAAAAGTTGCCAGAGAATGGTTATTAAGCATCAGAATTCAGAAGACTAAAGAAAATTTCATCAAAAGACTGACCTACCAAGCTGTTGATCACTTACCTGCTTAGACAAAATGCAAGAACCTGGGATGAAGGATGGCAGTGCTCAGAGCAAATGAGACCACCTTAGGAAGTTGCTTCTGTCTTCTGAGGTCAGAGTACCAGCTGGAGTGTCACAGCAGAGGATCACAGAGATGATACCACAATTTGACTGTGTATTTAATACATGTATATAAAGGGAGAGGGAGAGGGAGAGGGAGAGGGAGAGGGAGTGAACATCTCTGTGTTCAGAGCAAGAATGGAATAAAAGCTTCTTCATTTGGGCATGGCTGCAATATCCAGAGCAAGGAAAATCCTTAAGCACACATGGAAGTCCAAGGCAAGTGTGAAAGAAACTAATTTTGACACTTGATGTCTTCTCCCAAATATAAAAACTTTAAACATTGGCATAGTTGCAATATTGCCATCTTTCTACTCTATCTCTGGAGCTAGGATTGCTTTGTATCTTGAGTCCAACAGCACAAGCCTCTAGGAGAAGAGTTATAAATGACTTCCAAATAATCAGTTACACCCACATGCTGTCTTTTCTCTTGATGGTAAGTTTTCTGGGGAAGAAATCCTTGACAAAAAATCATTTGAGAGGCCATCATCACTGGGGAAGCTGGACTGGTAAGCAATCAGTGAGGCTGCTTGCTCGCTCGCAGGAATTGAGGCAGCACCTGCTGCTACACTGCTTAGGGTCCTTGGCTATTTTAACTGATGAGAAAAAAAGGAAATGTTATTTGCTCACCTCTGCCTCACAGTGTAGTTGGCATGGTTGTTCAAAGGGGAGATAGATGTTCAGAGTGAGTGCGTGTCCCTCCTATTCTTTGCAATCAGTGAACAAACATTTCCATGGCTGGACTTGGCACTTTCTGTGTACTAGTTATTACAGCTGCAGTATGACAAGGTCTCCCCTAGGCAGCTGTTTACAGAGAGCTGCTACTTGAACAGGAGTCTCAGCAACATGATTATGCCTTATTTTTGTAAATGCCTCTTAATAGCTATGTCGAAGAGCCTCTGAGGCCTCTGTGAACTCCTGCTGCAGGGGTGATGCAGAACAGCACATTCCTGAGCGTCACAGTTCCTTCCTCTGTTTGGACGGTTCAGCTCCACCTGCAGCACCACAGGTAGGAGTCAGATTGGTGTGGCATTGTTACTGGGCTTGGCACCAACACACTGCATAATGTGATAATCCCTGTGGCTTGAATCTGCACTGTCCTTGGCCAGAAAGCTGTACTTGGAGGTAAACTTCTGACCTTGTGGCTTTTTTTTCCCCCAAAAAATATTTTGGAAAGAAGTAATTGCTATCCTTTCATAAGCCATTCTTCACTCAGAGGATTTGATTCTCTTGTGTACTACTGTGGCTTTTAAAAGAACTCTTCATACAGCCAAGGCACTCTAGCACAAACAATCGAAGAGGCACAGTACTGAGGCAACTGGGTTCTTCCAAAAAAGATCATTCTGTAAGGTCCATAACTGCGAAGACTCAGGCTTTGTCTCAGGACATGGGAAAAGGTGCTTTGTGTCTTGTGTATTCACTATTAGAATAATCTACGAAGCAAAAGGTCAAAGAAATACGTCTTTTTGTTTGAAAAATGATTGCACTTAAGAGATTATTGATCTAGCAATGAATTAAAAGTGGCATCTCTTGAGAGTTTTTAAGGGCTCTTTGTTTCAGTACTAGTATGCATCAACACGTTGAGACATGTAGTGCTTCATCCTTAACTTGCATGTTTGTGTAAGTACTTGAGAATACAATGTGCTGAAGGAGAATGGACAAAGGAAGAGCTTTAGCTGAGATAGTCATAGTCTAATAAATATCACTCTCTTCCGAGACAACCACAGTTGCATTAAAACCAGACAGAAAGAGTACAGTTAGTTTTCTATAGCATTGTAACATCTTTATTTTGCACATTTACAGATAAAAAAGTGCAAAGACAAAATCTAGGTATGAGCCATTATCTTAATGAGCTGTAGTAATAGTTCTTACATGTATGGGTGAAGAGGACAACAGACTTGGTTTACTGCGCACAAAATGCTGTCTCCAATTTCTTAAGCATCCTTTACTTTGCTTCCTGTTTCACATGTTAGAATTTTAATATGTCCTATAATTGGACCTGAAACTCCTTGTGGATTCAAGTGAGACTACGCAGACATCTACCAGTGTGATTTGCTGAAATCAAGTAATTGATCATTTGCAGATGATATCCTCATTTGCACCCAGTAATTTTGTTGAAAGTTATTTGTGAGTGCAGAAGTCCATGATTTAAGTCATGCACTAAATGCACTTAAGAAAATCAAATAACTTGCTTTAAGAGCCACATGATTTGCATTTCAGAAAAGGAAATCCATGTAGATGTTAGAGGTAGAGAACAATGGCACTGAGGCAGCGTGGGCTGACTTTTAGCCTAGTTCCTACTAGGGTGAAGCCCTAAGTGATGAGAAGTGGAGTGAGAGATGGGAGCAATTTAGCCACAATGGCTAGTGTCCCCCTCCTTTTAACCTCTTCTAGACAGCTCTGGCCCTTCTCCCTCTCCCACTGCAGTTGAGGAGAGTTTTGCTGTGGTCTCCCTACCCCAGGCCAAAGCCCATCAATGACAATACATCATGAGCTGTATTTCCTATATGAGTGCCTGTGCTGCTGTTCAGTATTGCCCCCCATGCCACCCAGCAGAAGTGATGGGGCCATTTGCAAATGGTGGCTTTTTCTCACTCTTTCAAAGAACCAAAGTAGCCATGGTGTCCATGCTGTGCCAGCATCAGCTGCACGTCGCAACTGAGATCTGGCTCTGGGAGGTGGGAACCCGCTGGGGACTGCAGCATTCATTGGGGTCCTCCGGGTAGGACCAGGCTCTGGGTCAGACCTCGCAGTTTGGTGGGGTGCATGGTTTAATTTTTCTTGTATCTCAGGACCCAGCAGAACAGAGACATCCAAACCCTCCATTTTACAGTCCAAGCTCCCCTACAGACCCCTTCTCTGTGACTTGTAGATGATCTGACAGGGGAATACATTAACCATCATTCCTTTATTACCTAGCACTTTCCAAGTGGAAATTGCTACCTACTAAATTTGCTGGGCATTATGTATTTCTAGGTCTTTATACCAGCATGTGAGAGCATGTCCCAGGTTTGGTGTCCAGGTATGCGTCCCAGGTATCCTGTCACATGCACATTTTCTTCTCTTCCCCTTCCCAAACTATCCCATGGTTTCCACACACCGTAAAACAGCTGACACTTCCCATTTATACTGGGGTAAAAAGTGGCAAGATTATCCCAGTGCTTCATGCTCTCCCTCAGTGGGCAAACATACCATTTTTCAGGTTTTGAACTAAAAATGTGCAGCAGGTCATGAAAGGAAAGTGTTTAACCATGGGACAAAAGAACAAATAAATCAAACAAAATGGAACAAAGGCAAGGTCAAAACCCACTACAGCAATGCTGTAAAAATCTTCAGTACCCAGAGCATTACAAAGGCACCAACACTCTGGATGCTCTGAAGCAACCACAAGCTCTGGGTCTGGATCATCTTGTCTTCACACTTCTATGAGCCTGCAAGAGGGTGAAATTATTTGGCTGCCAGAAAGGCAAGCTGAAGCAGAAGACACAAGTGGAGCCAGGCTTCATGCAGCTACTGAGCACTGCTTGCCATGCCCAAGGAGATGCTTTTTCACAGGGCTGGAGGATGATTTGGGACTGCAGCTCTGAGGTGCACAGTTAATATTAGCTCTTAAGGACATGCAAGAGGAGCATGTACAAGGGAAGAGACAGAGGATAAATAATGAGAGTGTGAACTGGAGACTATTAGACAAGACCAGCTATATTTGCAACACTTTCAAGCAGGTGTCCATCCCTTTCTCATCCAGATAAATGGTGACATGTTCCATGGGCTCCTGGATCACGACTGCTGAGTGCTCTGTGGGTCCTTCACCTCCTGAACGCATCTTTATGACACTTCCAGCTCCAGAGGGCATGCCTGGCCATCCTCTCTTCCTAGTTCCCTGGGCCATGGAAAGTCTCCCCAGAGATTTGCATATCTTCTCCTTGGGCCTTTTTTTTCTAGTACTAGAAGCAGTACATTAGCTACATACCCAAACTGTAGTTTCTGGGAAGCTGAAGGTGCTGCATCTTGTAAGTATGAAATATAACGTTGAGTTTCTGTGGATTTCTTTTTGTAGCTTAAGAGTTAGAGTAATTTCTGAACCGGCATAACTGGAGCTGTACATTGCAAGTATGCAGAAGTATCTCCTCTGAAGTATGGTCATGGACCTGAAGGGGAAGGACCCCTCAGGGAAAGGCAGCATGGACTGAGGATCTTATGTGGAACGCAGTGGACTGAGGCTAGAACGGAGATGCAGAATTGGATCTGTCCTATTGTCTGTTGCTCTAATATCCCACAGGCATCCCTAACTCTAGGCTACCTAACAAAAAGGCAGCTGAGTTATGTGTTCACAGCCCTGAAAGATGAATCCTGCTGAGTACACACCAGTCCTGTTGACTGCTGTTGAGGAATGCATTAACTGTTCATAAACACAGGGATGTAGGAGCCTGCCATTTGTGAGACTAGGGGTTTTGAAATATTGTTAGTGCTGAAACTTGCAGTGCTTTTACCAAGGAAAGGCAAGCCACATGTGCAATGTGATCAGGTACTATTCTTGATCATCTGTGGGAGGATGAGTGGGTATGAACGAGCACAGGCATCTGGCACACTCTGGTCCACTCACAGGCATGCCTTCCTGACTGCCTGCTGCTCACTTCCCTGCTAGGAACAAAAGCTATGTTAGACCCTGTTTTTTGACACCAAAGTATGTTGGGGTATGAGGGAAGGAAGCTTGACTGCTGACCAGTAAATGGCATAGCAGGCTGCAAGCAGGTGTTAGATGTTCCTGGTGTGCAACCCTTGCTCATGTCCTGGTACCAGTGGACCAGATGATGGCCAGTGCAAGGCTGTGGTGGTGCCTGGACCAGCAGCCATTTTGCTGTCGGGGATTGCACTGGCCTAGGACACTCTGTCATGATGCCATCCCTACTGCTGATGGCAGTGGCAGGCCACCTATGACTTGCTGCCAGAGTCTAAATAAGTGTCCACAGTCACATATGCACCTGCAATTGGAACTGTTATCTTGTCTGTGCAGCCAAAACTGTTGGAGGCAGCGTTCCCTGTCTCTGGAGGTATTTGGGCAGACATGTGACCTGACTGTGGGAAGGTGCTGGTGGCACCTGCCTAGGCTCCTGCTGTGCCTGATGGAGAGAGGCAGGCTCCTGCAACCAACATCTCAGCATGTCCCAACGAGGCAACTCACTCTTGCCGAACAAATAGCTCAGGTCTGTCCCTTGGACAAAGCCAGGATGTAGTACACTGAACTGGGAGCTGCAGCACCAGTCAGAGGGGCTGTGAAGGGGTATTATATCTAGCCTGACACCTGCATAGCAGCTATGGTGTTAGTGTCTTTGCCAGATAGAGGGTTGAGTCTTTGCAGGACTGTGAAGGTCTGGGGATAAAATTTAGAACTGTGGTCCTGGAGGAGTTAAGAAGGAGGAAGGGAGGGAAGGGCTTCCTGAAGAAGCAGTCAGCAGGAGGGCAAGCAGAGCAGACAGACCTGCCGTTAATGCAGTGGGAACCATTTTAGGTCTAGCCCCAGTCTGGTTTAAATTTAAATCACTGTGGACAGGCCTGTGGCTTTTATTTCTGGGTTATCATATGGCTGTGGCATTTTGAGCTAATTTTAGTCTACCTTCTGTTAATTTTTAATTACTTGTCCAAATCTAAGACAGTGAAGGTAAGGTTAACCTAATTCTTTTCACATGCTCAGTCTAGAACAATGATTCAATTGCAGAGAAAAATTATTCTTATCACAGCAGAATGATTTCAGCTCTTGTTACTATTTTCCATGTCATGGTTAAAGATTTGTTTATGTTTCATAATGAATTTTCATTTTCAGAAAGTTCGAGCTTGGCTTCAGAATTGTGCCTGGGGCTGGATATTGATGTATGAAATCTCAGCTTGGAAACAAATCATCGTTTGTACAAGATTGCAAAGAAATCCAATTGGCTGGAGGTTAGCAGTTATGTTATACTTCTTCTCTTAAAAAATATAATCTAAAGGGTGCTTATATATAGTCCATCATCTCTCCATAGTTTAAATGAAACAATTCACCTATTAATGAAAAGGAACTGCTCTTGAGGGAGTTCAGCAACCACAGTTTACATGAAAAGTGGAAAAGACTATCTTATGCTAATGAAATTGTTCCAGGCATTTTTAAACAACTCCCCCTTGTCCCTAAGCATCCTCGATGTATCTAACTTGCAAATTGCAAGCGTGTGCAGCAGAATGGCTGCTGCAGCTGAACTAGACAGATACAAATGCTAGAGTAATATAATCTAGATATATAGAACAAAAGTTTATAGCTCTTTTAATGGTTGCTTTCTCCAACTACATCAACTAAATATCTCCTAAATAAAATAAAACTCAAATTGTTTTCTCTTTCTACAAGTTCCAGCAGAAGCACATGCCAAAGTGCTTTGCTGGATTAGGCCTTAAATGTTTTGAGATTTAAACTCTTCAGATGGGTGAAGAGGAGGGATTGAAATCATTCAACACAGACAGAGGCCAAGCATGCTCTAGGAGGTCTACTTTAATTAAGTAAGGCTCTTAATTTAATGTAGAAGCCACTCTATTTCCACAGAATACGATATTGACTGTTACAGTAATTTCTTAGGTATAGAACAATTAAAAATTAAAGAGTTAGCTGGACTGCTATGCTCATCATAGAAATATTCCTTACTGTGTTCACCTATAGCAGTTTAGTACCTGAAATCCTAAACATGGATCACATGCAGCTTGGGCTAGCAGTGATGATGCTGCCTCCAGCTGATGGTCATGAGACAGCTTGTAAGAAATATCAGTCTCCAAAAGTCTACAGTGACTGGTCACCTCATCTGAAAAAAAGATAAAGCTCCTGGCTGCCACAGGCAGCTCCCAGGTCTGACATTTCAATTCATAAACCATCCTCTGAGCTGGGAATGCTGTCTCCAGCCAAGGGGCATGTGGAATTTTCAGCATTTCCCATCCCTTGGCACTGGGTTGTCCTCTCCCATGTGTGGCTCTGCCCCAGTCTAGATGGTGTGGTGCCCATTTCACCACACCCCTTCCCATGGGACTTGGTGTATCAGGCACCCAGAAGATGGTCCCCCCCCAGCAAGCATGGGGGAGAGCACAGCCACCCCTGTCACGCCCAGCACTTGCTGGTGGTACCCAAAGGAAGGGAGGGCTCAGGACACTTTTGCTGGAAACTGTGCCTGGGAGGAATAGGAAACCGTCAGGCAGGCAGCATGGTGCTGTGTGATAGAGTGTTAGCATGTGTGTGTAGGTGTTGGTGTTTGTCTGTGTTGTCTTCTTTTGATGCTCTTTTGGGATAGCATTGAAGGAGGAGGAGATGGCATGAGCATGAATGGTGTCCTCATTCTCTCTAATCTGGAAAATATGTATTGACCCAAAGCAAAAGATCTGCAGCGGGGAAGGAAGCCACAACTCTCCTGAAAACACTGATGGGGGAAGATGCATTGCAGGGTGCTTTTGGGGTGTACCCCATCAAGCTGAGGAGGGATCTGGCTATGGTTCCTCTGTCTCTAAGCAAGTGCTCTGACTGTTTGGCCATTGAATAACAGAGAAACACATTTTCCTCTAGTCATCTGGTTTGAAAGGTTTTTCAATGCCCCCTTTTTCTTTTATTTTGTAATGATTGTGTCACCTCAAGAGAAAGCCTGGGGACAGCCTTGTGTGGAGGGAGAGAGTGACTAGCAGTCAAAAAATGTTTCTGGGACCAGTAGGATGCAATTCTTGCTAGTTGTTTAGCTCTGTTTTTTAGATGCCTGACTCTCCTGGGGCACTTCCCAGGCATAAAACTTGAGGAAAACTACTTTCCTCATATTTTTTACCATAGTCCATCTGTTCTGCTCTCTCCCAATGCCCCCAGTTGGAGAACCCTTGCCTGAGGTGTGTGAGGTGATTGCAGGGGCATTTCTGGGTGCCTGAAGAGCGGATGGGTGAGGCCACTGCGAAGGGTTCTGCACCCCCAAGGAAACCCACTGGACCAGCATCTCCCCAGGGAACAGGCAGGGGAAGCCGATGGCTGCTGTGTGCCTTCTGCCCTCCTTTCCATGAACCCCATGGTAAAGGTTATTTCAGCAGCAGGTCTATTGTGCACTCCTCTGTGTCCTGTGCAGGGACCTCGTCAGATCTGTTGCAGCGATTGCCTCCACGGGAGAACTGCAAGGTGGTGTCATTCAGCCCAAAGGTGGCAGATTTTGCAGGGGAGATGGAGGAGCTCGTATGGGTCTGTATTTGTTTGGTGCTTACATGTGAGGGGCTGTGTGCTGGACACCTTTGGCAGCTCTATGCTCAGGCTTCATCTTTCATGTGTTAGGCTGTCTGTTGCAAGAAACAAATAAATAAAATTGTCAGTTTGAGATCTGTCATATTTATCAGCCTGTCCCCAGACAGAGTGCTTATGGTTGAGAATGTTTCTTGGGAGGATAAAAGATTTTCACTTTATTTACAGAATAAGCCCTGTTTCTGCTCCCAGGTTTAAGACAGGCATTACAAGTGTTGGTCTTCTTCTACCAGCTTTGGGCTTCAGGTTTGCAGCTAAGAGAAGCCCAGTGCTTGAAAAGGAATCAGGCAGGTCCTCCCTCGGCTCAGGCAGGAATTCAAGGAGCTACTTCTTCCCAGGAGGGCACTTAGCAATGAGGAAAAGCAGAGCCAGGGCTGGCCAAAAGTCCTGTGTATCTACTTCACTGGCACACTTCAAGTTATTCTAAACTGCACTAAGGGGATTTCACAAGCCCTCCAAGAGCTCCTTCCCTCTGTCCTACTGTTGCATTCAAAATGGATGGAGCAAGAAATGTTCCCATCGAACCTCTTTTTCCTTCCAGTGAAATAGTTGTGTGCATATCATCCAGCAAGACTCACACAAGGCGGCAGTCCGTGGGAGGTGTGCACTCTGATGGGCTTTCTGGGACTATCAGAAGCTCACATGAACTCCCTCAAGACCTTTTCCATCTGTGAATATGCAGTCTCTCCCTCTGTCTTTGAATAATACTTTGTATAACAGACTATTCTGGATGGGAACAAATGAACCGTCAGGCAGCTCTAGAGAATGCAATGCTGAAACTATGGGCTGAACCAAATTTGCTTTGTCCTCCAAACCCTCTTGTGGTTTTTGATTGTCACTGCCTATTCACTTACTATTGGTTCTTTCTTTTGGAAGAAATTTGGTTTGTTAACCAGATTATTGTTGTTGTGAAATGATAAATGACCTCACCCCAGTTGTCAATAGTCCATGATGCTTGGAAAATAAATCTCTGAGTCAAAGTTGTTCTAACAATTGCTGATGTCTTTGGGGAAATATGAACAAAATTAATATGATGCTTAGGTAATCACTTACTAAAAACATGAGTAATTTGCATCCTGGTGGTAATAAGAGGAGATAAGAAGATGTGGCATAAATTACACTCCTGTGTTTCTCTATCCATCTGTCTGGAGCCTGAGGGTGCCTGTTCACAGTTGCAGAGATGTGCCTCTGAACTGATCTGCAATCACACCATTGGAGAGGTGCTGTAGCCGGGCTAATGAGTCCTGCCAGACCCATGCTGGCTGGTGCCATACCAGCCCTGCTTCCTCATGCCTCGGTCTCTCCCTTGCTAGGAAGTTGTTAGAAATATCCAGTAGGAATTTCTCTGTACTTTTTCTGAAGCAGCTGCCAGAGACAACCCAGCCTTTCCTGTTCTGGTGCAGAAATCCTGTCCCAGCCTGGCAGGAGTGGCCCGGGCACTCATAAATCACCCAGATTATAACAGGAAATGCACAACCCCTGAATTTTGTTTGGATTTTTTTAAGAATTATGCATGACTGCAGGTCCACACAGATCTGGGGCCCATCTGCTGCAGCATGATGACCAGAGACTTCAACCAGCCTACAATGGCAGCTAGGGAACCAGACTGTCCCAACTTTTCTGCACCATGTGAAAACAATATGAAAAATACAACTGCGTTTCACAATAAGTAGTGAAAAGCCTTGCCTTTTGATGTTGTTATCTTAAATGGTGCTATTGGATGATGAAACACGTTAAAATGTGTGGGAGGTGGTTTTGCTCAAAGCTCCCCACTTCTGCTCTCCGGAGCTGGCATTCGCACTCTCTACCCTGAACTGTCCTGGTGCACTGCCAGCCTGTTATTCTGGGTCTCTCTCCCAAGCACTCTCCCTGCTCTCCAACCCTGGGCATGAGCTCACACTGCAGCCCTTCCCTTACCAGGAAGATTCATTTGGGTTTCCTTCCTTTTATGTAGCCAGCTAGTGCCATTACACATGTTGCCTCCATCCCTACCCAGTTTAGCTGGCAAGGAAGCCAACAGGTTCAAAAACTTCTGAGAGGGATATGGAATTGGAAGACAGAAAGACTTGTTAAATAAGTCTGATGTCCTTAGGAAGTCAGGCTAAAAACAGGGTTAGCATACTATTTCTCAGTATTATGTGTATTCTGAAGGCATGTCTGTACAGGGCAGTATGGTGCCTTGCTGGGTCCTGACTGTACCTTCACGTCAGTGACACAACATATATGGAGACACATTTGAATATTGGCAGGATCTCTTCTGTTTGGTGCAGCTGTGCCATTTCTAGTTTGGGAGCCAGCTCATCCAGTGTTAGCCTGAGGAGCAATGCAGTATGTTGTGTTATGCAATGCGGACGTACCCAAATAATTAATCTGAATAGCCGAATTCCCTTGAGAGTTGCTCTCCAAGTATGGATTGGAGGTCAAATTTGAGGTAATTTGAGCAAGGAAGTCCTGAGATGCAACCCCTTCTTAAAAAAGTCATATGCCATCCAAATATTACCACCATTACAGTACTTCATTTACTGGTTGCATACTTCTCGATATTGTGCTGTGGCTCTTGTCCTCTCCAAGCTGTTATCAGATCATCTACTCAGATTATGATGTTTGACATGTTATCTTGGTTGACACCCAATGACCCTTAAGGAGTTAATACTAGAAAAATAATGGGATTTATTTGGATTGGATCTCTCTGTATTAAGGTGACAAGGAAAAGGAAATTAGGGTTACATGGACAGCAGGACATGGTTTATGGACAGCTCAGGGGCTGCTGGCAGCTCTGGGGATATGAATTGCAGCATTGCTAACTTCCAATCGGTAAGCTTCAAGGGCTTCTTCTTGTGCTTTGGTCCTGACAGCAAAACCGTCATTCTCAGAGCCAATGTTTCAATGGACTCTGAAACCCACATGCATGCTCAGTCTGCTCTGGAAGTTGCTATGCTTTGGAAGGGCCAAAGGATAAATTTAGCCTGGGGTCACTTGACACAGCATGTTCTGTAGATACTGCCTGCCCCACACACATATGCAGCTGCTTTTCATATCCATATTGCTTTAAAACTTCCAACCTGCCCAACTCCAGTAAACCAGAATACTGATCTGTTGCAGCAGGCTTGTTTGGTGGAAATAATGAGTCCTTCTGTCAGAGAATCCCTGAGGTATGTACCACAGAAAGAGAGCTGCTTACAGCATTTGTCAGACTCTTACAACTTTTGCAGTGCATAGCAGGGAAAAAAAACCCAACCAACAAACCCTCCACAAATAAGCTCTCTGACCTTGCACCAGTCTTCAAGTATGTCATGTTATCACAGTCCAAATGTTTCACTGCCTCTGTTTGAAGAGAGTTGACATCTAGCGTTTCTTCAGAAGCCCCTCACTGAGGGTCACTGACCCAGCAGCAAAATCCGACAAGGCCCATCCATGCCTGAGGCATATGCGGGCATGGTGCATGGCAGAGCTCTATGCTGCCTGGCCTGCAGCAAGCTCACCCCTGGGGCTGCCCTTGGTTTGCCTCCCTCCCTCCTTCCCTGAAGGAAGCCTGCCAGAGCAGTTTGCAGGACTGAGGTCTGCCCTCTGGATGCACAGATCCTCTCCTATGCAGAAGTCTGATGTTGGCATGAGTGGCACCAAAGAGAGGTGTGTGAGAGGGAAGGGTGCGCATGTATGCAGATTTTGGGCAGCTAGCCTGCATGCCCATGGTGCCATTTCCCCAGCTCTGCCACAGTTCATGCAGGTCGCAATGGGATGTGATGGCTGGTTTGATAGGAGCCACCCGAATGCATGGGAAAAGCAGCACTGCTGCCACATCTTTGAAGTATCTGAAAAATGAATTGCTGTAAGGTAAAGAGAGTAGTTGCTCCTGATGCTTTCCAGAATGTAAAGTCAGTGCTTCAAGACTCGAAGTATAATTGACTTAAACCTCCCAATACTGGGAAATTTGAAACTTTCACAACAAACTTAACTCTTCCCCTATATGAAAAGCTCCTCTAGACACCATATGAGCTTATCAAGACTGCCCCTTTCCCAAATGTAGACAACAACATAGGAACATACAGGAGTCCTGTGAGGGGGACAGAGGCCCTGCCTTGCTTGAGGAAAAGGCCAAGCTTAAGTCAGATATGGTGAAGCAGGAGCTAGCTCAGTCCTGTGTGTCCTCACTCACTTGTTCCACTTTGACAGAGTGCAGACTTCGTAGATGCCCATAGGCAGATGAAAAGAATGTGGAGGAGAACCTACACCTCTGAACCTCTCTGTTCCTCAACAGGCAAAGAGATGGAGATGTTCCAAATCACTTCCATTTGCTTCTGGAGGCTCTCAAATGCAGAATAGCACTGTTTAGTGACAGCCATAAATCATTAAGTAATTAAGCATGCAAGCTATAAAAAGCGTGTGCAAACAGACCTTGTTCAGTAATGTATATGTAGAGCTTAAGGTTAGAAAGCTAATATATTGCTACATTCTTACAAAAACATACCCAGTACTGCACTGGAGATCAAGATAATCTGCATGGGGAAATACTTCTCTTTATCCCATGAGGTATTGTTATTGGCCTGAAAAATACTCATTACCGTAGTTATATGGAAGTTTGCAACCAGGGGTAAAGCTCAGGCAGCCAAGTCTTAGAAATGCTGGCACATTTTGTGAAGCAGGAATGCCAATTCCACCCCTGTTTATTCCAATGTTTTTGTATTATATCCTAGCAGTCTATAATCTGAGAGTTTGGCCAATTCCCTTCACTTTTTCTTGTATTTCCTGCGGAGTGTGTATGTTCTCAGGTGTTTGGCAGACTGTATGAGAGCAGCCTGGCCTGTTGGTGGAGCACGGTGGCAGGAGCCAAGAGCGAGGGCTATGGCAGTGGGCACCTACCTGGGGTCCGCTGGAGCATCTCTTCCAGCAGTTTCTATTTTCATTGACTACTTGTTCTGCTGCTTCCAGCACTAGAATCACTGTCTCTCCTCAGTTGCGCTGTGCTCTACAAGCTTCATGAAGCAAGGAGTATCACCAAATCAATTCATGCACTAAATCTGTCTTCCCTGCCCCAGCAGCACCAACAAAATATGCAGCTATGTGGGTGTGTTCTGTAAGACAGCCTCCTCTGGAGATAGCGTCTACACGTTAGTGCCTGGATCCTGAGAGAGTGGACCTCCCACTTCACCTCCAGACACCGAGATTTAAAAGATGGATATTTTTAATTTACTCTGAGATTAAATAAGTGATAACATTTCTAGCACTTGGAGGGGCCTTCCCAAAAGGGCTATTTGATTTCCTTCTTTTATAATTCTTGTATGATACTTTATTACCTCCTGTGGTGTGTGCATGTGTGACCAGTCCTCAGGAGCCTGGTCAACCAGCTAGAATGTGATTTCCAGAGCCATCAGCAGGAAGAGAGATGCAGCCCAAGGGTTGCTCCTGCCTCCTCCCTGCTTCGCCTCCTGCCACACAGCTAGTGATGTGATGAGATGTGAGATGTCCCTAGTTTGAATTTGGTTTTATTCCCTGCCCCCCCCTCAT